CACCTCCCAAGCCTCCGCCTACCTCCTTCTCCAAAGCAACGCAACAACTCCCTCATCCGCCTCCGACCACCAAAGACATCCTTCTCCTGTTCTACCCCACCTCCATCAGCGCCTTTCCCTTCCCTATTCGTCAACACCCTGCAGCCTCGCACCGCCCAGCCATCACCCTCGTTCCAACAGTACCTCCTCGCTGCTCCTCTCGACAACGAGCTGTCGCCGTTAATCACCAGCTCCACCTCAACCATCGACCCGCTCGCGGAGATTCTAGATGCTGTCGCCGTTAATCACCAGCTCCACCTCAACCATCGACCCGCTCGCGGAGATTCTAGATTTCCTCTGCCACAAGTTGGCTCCCAGATCTTTGCTCACATCTGCCCAAGCAGCTCCACAGTCATCTCCTGACATGGTCGCGTCGTCGTTCAGTTCGAAGCCACTGTGCTCATCGCCGTCCTCCACTACTTCGTCAGATCTACATCTTGTTCGTCACTGCGTCATCATTTAGTCAGTTCGCCGCTGTCGCGTAGACTAGTCGCCCCGTCGTCATCCAGTTCGACGTCGTCCCTCACGTCGAGCCTGTTCAGACCGACGACCCAGTATTTTTGGAACTACTATTGCGTGCGAGTTATTATCAATTTAAATATCAGTTGCAATTGTGTTGTATTCCATTTGATTAGTGAGCAAGTGATTCTGTTGCCAAGTATATTTGCTAGTCTAAATATTACAAGTCGAACTGTATTAAGAGGACAAATCATTACATTTATTTTCTAGATAATTTACAAAGGTTTGAACTTAGTACAATTGCAACTTTTGCTTAAAAACCATCGAAAGCTACACTTTATTCTTGAGCTTCCTGCCTAGATCGATCACTGATTTGGTGAAGCATTGTTGTCGCTGATCTCGCACCTGCATATACATTGTTTCACATCATTTTTGGTATCAGAATATGGTTCTAGGTTAGGAAATTTCTTCTTTTTAGTTGTCTTTATTTGATAAAAAAATCCAGCCATCTCATTTAGATGTTAGTACACACATTCATCTCACTTAGTTGTTAGTGCATACCCACTCGCACAGGTCTACTCTATCGATTGGGAGAGTCGGGTGAGTCAACTAGTGAGTCCAGAATGTCAGACAGTGTAGAGTCTGAACTCCTTAAGAAATTCACTGAACTAACAACACGATTTGATACCATAGCCCAAGAGAGCAGAGCTACCTGCGAAACCATAAATGATACGAACGAAAGGCTCGCTAGGATCGAGGAAGCGCGTGTTGCAACCCCGCAGCTGCAAGGTCAAGGTTATGAAAACATCACCCCGCCGTCGCAAGGTCAAGGTCATGAATACATCGCCCCACCGCTGCCAGGTCAAGGTTATGGATACTTCGCCCATCGACCCCCACATCAACCTGCGCCTGATCCGGATGCGCAATACCTGAGGAGCATTAAGGTCAGCGCACCAACCTTTGACGGCAAGCTCGACCCACAAACTTTTTTGGACTAGCTGAAGAGCATGGATCGCTACTTCGAATGGTACGTCCTGACGGAACCCCGAAAGGTCAAGTTCGCATCGATGAAACTCACCGGACTCGCCTGCCAATATTGGACTAACCTCGAAACGCTGAGGCATATTAGAAACTCACCGGACTCGCCTGCCAATATTGGACTAACCTCGAAACGCTGAGGCATATTAGAGGTGAGTTACCGATTACAACTTGGCGAGAAATGGCCGACGAACTAAAACGGAAATACCTCTCGCCACCGCTTTATCATCGGTTGCTCGACAAGTGGCATCGTCTCACTCAAGGAACCAAATCTGCAAAAGAATACGTTGCACAATTCGACGAATTGTTTACTCGATACAGTACCATTGAGTAAGAGTCACCGATGAAGGTCTTATCAAAGTTTAGAGCTGGATTGAGAAGCGACCTCCAAACCGCACTCTTTGCTAGAGGAGGAGACACCCTTGAGAGAACTTACGCATTAGTTTAAGATTTAGATGAAGCCAAATCTCATCATCTCATAGGAGTCAGGATTTTAGAACTCATTCCTCCCGGTCTTCCCGTACCACTACCTTTAGTCAACATCCGAGTCGAGCTAACCCTAGTTCTTCCCAGCCTACAGTCGACCCCAAGGGCAAGGAGCCGGAGAGAGATTTCTCCAAGATTGGCTCTCACGTCAAATGCTATAAATGTCAAGGGTACAGACATGTTTCTGCGAAATGTTCAACCCGTCACAAGGTTGCTATCATCAATGGCCAATACGAATATGAACCTGAACTTGATAGCGACGAGTTTGTCCATCAAGTTGACAATGATACTGATGATTTTGAGGATGATATTGATGATATTGTCCTAGGTTGTCTTAGGCAAATCGAAATCCCTAACGTATCTGTTGTTAGATGTGCCATCTCCCAACCCAAAGCTGTTGATGATTGGAGATGTACCTCTATCTTTCACACGTTCACAAAGATTAGAGATAAGAATTGCAAAGTGATCATGAACAGTGGAAGCTGTATTAATGCGATCTCCTCAGCTGTGATCGCCAAGTTTAGCCTTAAGGCCGTACCCCATCCCAATCCATACAAGATGTCATGGATTAATGACACCGCACTTCATGTCCAAGAGAGATGTTTAGTCCCTCTTCAATTTGCCATTTACAAGGACAATGTTTGGTACAATGTTCTGAAGACGGATGGGGGTCAAGTTATTCTTGGGAGACCCTGGCTATTTGATAACGACGTTCATATCTTCGGGCGATCCAACATGCTATTGTTCGAGCATGACGGAAAGAAGGTCAAGATCCTTCCAGTTCAACCGAAAGGTAGTGATAAGTAGTCTACTCTAGACAAGTCTTGCAAAGGCGTTAACCTGATTGGAGCCAAAGAGATCGATCGTGAGATAGCCAATGGAACTCCCATTTTCGCCCTCGCCGTTAGAGAAACTCCGAAGGATATTTGTGACGTGGTTCCCCAAGAAGTCGCTCCTGTGTTGGAAGAATTTTCTGACGTCTTCTCTAAGGACCTCACGGACCAGTTACCCCTGATGCGTGATATCCA